TTCAATGGTAAAGGAGATTTTACGGCCTTAGAACATACCTCTAGGCCGTAAACTCCAATAAGTGTCTTAATTGATGTTCTAAATTCATAACAATGCTTAGAAAATTAGTTAGAATCACATGTGATTGCCCTAAATAGTTCAAATCAACCATTCTTAGCCATGGGTGAGTTTACGGCCGTAAACTCTATGAGGGTGGCCGTAGACTCATGTTTTAAATGATGTAAATCCATTCCAAGTTTTCCAAGGCATTTTAGATAATCCATTCTAGCAATCCCTATGTCCATTTGAGCCGTTAAACCATCAAAACCACACCCACATGAGTTTACGGCCGTAAACTCATGTATGTGTGTGTTCCATAGTTGTAAACTCTCTAAAATGTTTACTCTTGGGGAGTAAACTCAAGTCCCAAGCCCCTAGTGCCATTACAAGTCCGAAGATGTCACCCGGGTCACTCCAAACGCTCGTTTTGAGGTGTTTAACCTCATTGGAGTGTGATGTTCCATATGATTAGTGAATGTATCTCTAATTGTATATATGTACATTATATCATTTTACATAGGGTCATCGCGAGTAATCAAACCCCGAACCAACGTCTAGCATTCAAAACCGACACGTTTCCGAGTCCGGTGAGTTCATACCCCTACCCTTTTTCACTGTTTTCACTGTTTTCAGGGGGAACACAAGCAAAGTACAAGGGAATTCTTGTACTCAAAACATGTTTTCAAATGTGTGTTTCATATTTCATATGCTTTTATAACTGATTACCACAACTGATAATCATTTGAACATGCAGATCACGTAACATATATTTGTGAAATAGGTCTTTAAACTGTTATGTTTTACATATATTTCACAAATGGTTTTCCACATTTTATCAGTTAAAAACACGACATTAAACATTTGAACATAATACCTGTACACTGTTTTGTCCTCGGTAACACTCCACACACATACGCGAGTAGAGGACTATCATATTATTACTAGTAAATTTGTTAATCCTGTATGATTGGAGACACGTCCTCGGAGAACACTCCACCGAGATACGCGAGTGGAGGACTACACCCATAACCAGAATCTCTAGTATTTAGAGAGCGTGACTTGAGTGTATAGATCTATACGGGGCTGACTACCCCACACCTGGCTGCTAGCTACAGCCGAACTGAAATGGTTCAAGGGTGACGAAAGTCATAAGTATGTGGACGACTTATTGCCACATGTGGACTACTTATTGCCACAGGTTTTAGTCTATTGTATGGTTATGGAACTCGCAATTAGGATAACAGAGATTTGCTTATAGTAATAATGAACCACTTTATACATCCTTTACATCTTTTACATCTGTTACATCTTTCACATACTGTAACTAACATTCAGGAAAGTACGGGACTTTCCTGGGGAAAAACATGGAACCTAATCACGTTACATCTTTTACATCTTTAACATCGTTTACATTAGAAACTAACATGCAGGAAAGCATGGGGCTTTCCTGGGTAACACTTACATAACTAGAAAGAGTAACAAACTGAATAACATTACATCTTTTACAATTTGTAACATACAATGAGGAAAGTATGGGACTTTCCTGGCAATACATGATAAGTAAACAGAACGGTTTAATTAGTCAGACAACCAACTATACATTTTTCACATGAGTAGACATATTTTCAGTATATAAACTCACTATACTTTACATTTGTGAAACAATAACCAACCATTAAGAAAATACGGGATTTTCTTGGTATACATAACTTTTCAGAAACAGAAAGGGAACCGATACATTTTCATAAAACAAAACCACTTATGAACTCACCAGCTTTATGCTGATTTTCAAATCGCTTGTGTTCTCAGGTCAGCGTTAGAACAGGTACTCGAAGATCCTTTTTGCTTGAAGACGGTGTGCATGAAGATCCGTTCCTTTTGTTTATATATATATATATACATTGTATCACAACTGTACAAACTTTATTTTTGAAACAACTGCAAAACTTTTATTATGAAATGTAATGGTTGTTTTACTTTACTTACTATATGCATTGGATTTGATACTCAACGTGGAGTCAACCCCGGAAATGTTTCCGCCTTCGGTTTTCGGGGTGTGACACATTATCATTGAAGAATTCTCATTCAAATGAGCAAGAAATGAAGATTATTCTTTCAACATCCAATCTTTCAACCCCGGAAGCAAGGTGAAGCTGGAATAGAAGATTATGTGACGGATTGCATTGAAGCCTCTTTAATCAATCTGCTGCTATCTATGAACCTGCTGAAGTGATCCATAAAATTATTTCTCTCTGAAGTTCTCTCTGAAGATTCTCAAGCTGAAAGCACCAATTTTCAAGAATCTCTACAAGAAGCCTCCTCACCCAATGTGCATTAAATGTTAAATACTGAAGAAATTCCCAACTGCTCAAGATGAAGTCATTTATTAAAGATTCATCAAGTTCATCTTGAAGTTGTGAAGTCATCGAAGATAAACGCTAAAGCTAATCTCCAACTGAAGATTATCAAGAAAAGCCAGCTACTTTTTAGGGGGAGCTTGTTGGGTCAATTAAGAAAAGAAAGCTATAAACCAATGAGGAGATTGTTGGGTCAAAATTATGATTTATACTTTGCTTTTCTAGGCAATTGTATTTTCTGTAATGTTTTATGAGTTTACGGTCAAGTTTACGGTCAAGTTTACGGCCAAGTGGGGTGTTTACAGTCGTAAACCCATTTACGGCCCATGTCTCTCTCTCTCTCTCTCTCTCTCATATATATATATATATATATATATATATATATATATATATATATATATATATATATATAGGGTGAGGGGTGTGAGGAAGGAACAGATTTGTAGAGGGAGAGAAAGTTGAAAGGAGCTTTAGTGTGTGTTAGTGTGTGTGAATCTTGTATCTAGATCTTCATTCATATCAAATCAAACAAGATTCATCATCTTCTTCTTCTCCTTCTCTTCTATTTGATCTAACATCATCCGTTTGATTGGGATTCCGCACCATCAAACGGATCTGATTGATACACAAGCATTTTCAGGACTTACACTAAACTTATCTTTTAATGATTTTAAATGCTTTTATGGGGGGACACAAGTAGAAAACATTATAGTTATAATATCAATCACATGTGATTTATAACTATCAAACAAAAGGATTTCTTAGACTTCAAAAAACTATGTTATCAAACAAACTATTTCAAATCATTTTATAAACTGACATCAAGTCATAAATAATCATCTAAATGGTTAAAACTCTTTTATATGATAAACTCTTTATACTTTTACAAAACTCTTTTAAACTTATATATTGTAAAAAGCATATCTATATAGATATAGTTATATAAATAAGGTTGAAAGGGCTTAGGACTAATATCTCACTTTATTTCTTGTTCCTTGTTTGGTTGTCGACTTAGGTTATCGGTTGTTTTCCCGAGTGTCGTTTGAATCTTAGTTATATATTATGTATATGTATGTAGATATAAAAGTTCTTCTTATCAGTTCAATACCTTTGGGTAGCAAAGGTGTACAAACATGATCAATTATTCAAACAACAATAGTGGTAAACTATAATAGGTATAGTTTAGAGGATTACTACTTACTATTTCTAGAACATTGAAACTTCAAGAGTCAGTTCATACAAGAGTCAGTTCAAACATACTATAACTAGAACAAGAAGGAACATACTATAACTAGAACAAGAAGGAGCATATTATAACAAGAACAGAAAGAGCATATTATACACTAGAACAGAAGGAACATACTATACACTAAAATGAAAGGAACATACTACATTAATACAAGAACAATATAGCATTAATGTGAGCCACTTCTTCATGACATTGGAAATATATTGTTGTGTCACGTTTTGTAACCAGAGTCTCCTGTAGGGAGAGGGTGATTTTGTGTATAGATCTATACGGGAGTCACCATCCTACACCTTGATGCTAGCTACAGTGGGACCTGCAGGTCTACGGGTGACAAATGTTATACCATTTCGATGTCTTTGGAGTGTTGTATTTTATACTAGTCAATCAAGCATGGTTATAACCTCATCCCATTTTACCTTAATTAAACAAGTTGGTTTTAAGGTAGTTAGTACATATGTATATACAATTTACAATACTACTATACATCTTCATTTTCCCATTACATTCATATAGTGATCTTCTCACATAAACGGTATTGTAAACTATTTTCTAATAAAGATAGTCGTATACTTGGGAAAATACTCACTTTTACAAAAAGAACAAACATATAGAACAGTCGGGTCTTGGTAGAAGACTACTCTCCACTTTAGTAGAAAATATAGGATTTTCTAGGGAGTATACAAACATTTACATCAAACACTTACAAACACTTCCATCAAACTTATACAAACATTTGACACTAAAATACTTATGAACTCACCAGCTTAAATGCTGATCTGGTCTTTCAAAATAACTTGTATTCTCAGGTCACCAGTAGATAGGTTCACTGGACCACGTTTTAAGAAGACAGAGCATGTTCAAGACTCGTTTTTTATTTTTATTCATATGTTGTTGTCTTTCAAACTTTACATAGAACAAACTTGTATTAAATTATATTATTAATGCAATGGATGATGTTGTTGCTTGTTTTACTATTGTGCATTGTTATGATACTGTACATGACGTCCTCCATCCCTGAACATTTCCTCCGTTCTGATTTGGGACTATGACAAGTCGTTCCTAAATGTAGCCTGATCAACTATGTTTAGTCTTGATTGAACCAATACATCGACTAAATTATGGATAGATAAACGATAAAACAGAAACCACAAATACACAATCAAAAGCATACATAAAGTGTATCAAAATACATCGTAAGTATCAAAATACAAATTATCAAATCCATAAACCTCAATCTACTCATCATTGCTCTCATACTCAGCCTTCTTATCCTCCGTTCCCTCAGCGTTATCACCATCAGCATCTCTAGGATGTGTGACTGAAGTGCCTGCACTATCATGATCGGCACCCCGTGGCTAAGGATGGGGTGGAACAGCAGGACCCGTCCTAGGAAAAGGTAGATGGTCCATCCCCAGATGTTGCATCACCCCAGTGATCGAAGCGATGATCCAGCGACGCTCCTCATGTGTAACTACCAGACACCGCATCACGTCATGTATAGTCGGCTCCCGATAGTCAAGCTTCGCATGCCTAGGCCTCTGACACCTCACGAAGGTAAGCTCAGGGATGTCCTCCGACTCCACCTATCAAATTGGCTACACAATATCATCATATGGAATCCTTCACTGCCGCCCCACTCCTCGAACCAACACCCACATCTTCCCGAGGGCGGTAGTACCCATCTCCCGGATAGGCATAGGAACCATCCCACTAGTATCAACCTCATAAGATATGGCCATCCTAGTAACCCAGTGATCCCTACGGATCTTGCTCGAAGGTGTAGAACCTACAGCCATGCTAGATAAATAAAAAGCAAGGGCAAAAGGAAGATGAAAACAAACCTCCGTCTGAGTAAGGCACCACATATAAAAGAGGGCGCCAAAGGGAACCTTGTCACACTCCTTTCACCAACAAACGTTTGAAGCGACCAATCAGTGGATCAACAGATAGATAGGAGAATGAAAGACGCTATCATTGGGTGTCCTGGAAACATAAGTCCCTCGAGCGTGACCCCAAACCTTCATGTAGCTGTACTCCTATGGTGGCGCAGTAATACAACTGTCGAGATAAGAATAAAAATGAGGACTAATAGTCTCCTCAGTAGTATAAATCCATTGACGCTTCCCTAGCTCAATCAAGCTGCAAGTATGGGATACTCTTTCTAGGCAAAAAGTAAAAACCAATCTATCAGCCTATCTCATCAACTCCTTGTTGAATCGGACTATTGATATGTAATTTATATATATATATATATATATATATATATATATATCATATCCTAATATTTTATCCTTAATTATAGTTATTTAGAACTAAAAGGTACTTAGAATGTTTAAATTTATATTTTATAGGTATATTGTTGCTAGAGCGGAAAAGAAACAAATGGAGCGGAAATTGGGCTTAGAATGCAAAAAGAGAAAAAGTGGGATGAAGGCAGCCCATTACGCCCAGCATAATGGGTTTACGCCCAACGTAACGTGGAGCAGTGGACTACGCCCAATGTAGATGTTGGTACGACCAACGTATTGGGCTTAGGCTCCGTAATCAGATCGCGATGACTTCTTTAGAACCCCCCGCATACACCAGCTTGCGCCCAACGTAGTAAATCAGTTCCAAAACTTGTAATAAGGGATTTTCGGCCAACCAGAAGGAAGAAATCAAATTCCATTGATCCTTAGTCCACACGTAACCTCTCTTCTGCCGTTTTGAGGGTCTAGAAGGCGGTCGGTAGGCCGTTAAGCTAACAGGAACGAAGATCTAAGGGATTAGAGAGCGGATTCATGTCGGGGTTCATGTGGTTTGTTATTGTGACCATGTTTAGCATTCCATTGTGATCCCACTATGTGTTTACTTTCTGATTATGGTGTTAAAACTTTTTACTTTGTGCTTATAATTAAGTGAATCTTTGACTTTTGGTTTAATTACTATTTGGATTGTTTATTCTTACTTAATTTATTTTGTCAAGTTTGATCGAAGATCCATATGTGTTAAAGATTGTTGTTTTGTTTCCTATTGTTGAATTAATAAAGTTTAGGTGACCATCTAGTCGTGTTAATGAGAATCATAGTTGTCCAGTGATACATTGGTGATTATGACTAGAGTTTTGACCAAAACCTAGGGTTAGGAAATAAAGTGATGAACTTTAATGTGTGTGCATGAGTTGAATGACCATTCTCTACATGATTTAACTCCTATGACCATTAGGGTTAAATAAGATCAAATCTTGCTTAATACGAACCAAATAATGATTTGCATGATTGTTTGTTCACGTGATCAATGAATTAATAGTTGTGTTGAAATCAAAGGATTAGTAGTCGTAACCATGACACTAGTCATATTAGGAATCGGTGAATAATGAATATATATATATCCATTGTATCAGTAGTTAGCAATTAATTTGAGATGTAATTTATCTAGACCAAAGTACCTAAAGAAATTTGTTTTCCTATCAGTTTATCGATATTTGATGGTATTTAAAGTATTTAATAAAACTCTTCTTATTACTTATGTATTTTGTGTAACCTATAATCAAAAACTCCAAATTAATTCACCACCGTTCCTCTTGTGTTCGACACCTATTCTTACCACAACTATACTATTACATGATTAGGTCCACTGCCTAGTGTGTGTGTTAGTCTGGTTGTGATAAACTCAGTTTTATAAATTTAAAACTTGAGCAATATATATATATATATATATATATATATATATATATATATATATATATGTGTGTGTGTGTGTGTGTGTGTGTGTGTGTATATCACACATCAACTATCGAAAAGAACTCCCAGCAGAGCTCCTTGTAGACCACCTCCTGAACCCCGACAACCTGTCGCCATCCGTGGAAAACAAAAAGCTCAAGAATGCTATCATCCCGCAACACATGGGTAAGGAACGACGTCATTCGAGCCGTCAGCCCATAATCATCTGCCACTCTCGAGGAAAGATCCTGGGGAATATTGATCTTCTTGGACAGAAGAACAGTCAAGCAAGATACAAAAGAGCTCCGGTCGCGAAGATCATTGAGGAACTCTAGAAAAGGATGTGAAGGCGAGTTAGGAGGTAATTGACTCGCAACTTGTCAACCTCGTATCACCATATCTATAGAAAAATAGACCGAAAGGTAGTTAGGAATAAGTCAGATAAGATAAATGATGCTTAAAATGTTGAAATGGGTTAGACATACCAAATGCACGTTGCATGCAAGTGCACGCGACGCACATGCATTTATGCAACGATCTCCAAGAACACGAAGAACAGCAGGCATGGCAACCTACTATTTAGTCTAATTTTCAACACAAAAACTATATAGGTATGTTCAATTAAACTTCTAGAACACGAATAGGTATCCCATTTCGTCTAAAATATCACAAACTTGCAGATTTATTTAAACTTTTTTTGAAAATCTAAAAATTCAAAACGGGGATCAGTAGATGAATTAAATCCAAAATTGAGTGTATAGGAAGTAAAATATGTTGTATAGGATGCTTAAGTGATCATCTATTTCACAAAACCTAACCCAAATTCATTAATTGATAAAAACTTCAAAAATCCTAAAACCTTGAAATTTAGCCCAAAATTTAAGCTAGGATTAGGCATAGAAGTTACCTGGAAGTAGAGTGATCAAACGAGATGAGGAAATCGATGTTTGGAGGCAGGCGCACGAAGTGTGTGTCGTGCGTTTGGGACCCAGTCGAGGCAAATCAGATGGGGACCAGAATGAATGTTGGAAAAGTGTCGAATGAAGCCAAAATTCGACTTTAATGTTGATCTGCAAGTGCACAGCGCGCTCATCATATTCCTGGCGTACATGTTCAAGATCTTTAAAGTTGGCACTTTTCATCCCCAAAAAAAAAAATTAGATACCCTAGATACTAAAATCCTTTAGGGGTTTAATGTAATTAGAAGATTAAGAGCAAGGGAGAAGAATTCCCTTGAAATAGTAAGAGATTTTCATAATAAAACTTACTAGGAAAGCAATACTAATACATGAACCTTGTTCATAATAACAGTTGCTAGGAAAGCAACAATAATAAGAAATTTCATTCATAATAAGAGTTACTAAGGAAGTAACAATAGCATGTCGTGATCAGAAAGAAAACGACAACAAAAGAAAAGATACCAGTAAAGTCTCTGTTTAAATAAGTGACAAGGAGACAAGTTGCTAGGAAAGCAACTATAGTACCCTACAAATGGAAAAGTAGTGTTAACCCCATTAGGAACAACAAAAAACCTTCTTGCCATTATTTCAGGACAACAACACTGCAATGTTAACCTTGATTGACCCGACTACCATTCAGACCATGATTCAACGTCAAGTCTCTGATGCATTAGGTGATCTCAGAGCTAGAAAGGATGTGGGAATAAATAAGGAAGGTAGTCCATTGACAAGAATCTATCAGGATTTTCTCAATATTAAGTCAATATCATTCTATGGAGACAGGGGAGTAGGTAGTTTGATCCATTGGACAAAAAAGTTATAGAGAAAGTGTGCTAGTGAACATAGAGTTAAGTTCGCAACTTGCATATTCATGGGAAGAGCTCTCCTATGGTGGAGTATTCAGTTCAAGAATTTGGGGGTAAATGAAGCCTATGCAACTCCGTGGGAAGATTGAAGAAGTAGATGATAAAGGAAGTCCGTTCTGTTAGAGACGTGGCATGAGCCAAGCGAGAATTCAATCATCTGAGCACCAAAGAGTCAGGCTTGGCTTTCTATACACTACTGTTTGAGTACCTAGTCACCATATGCCCTGAATCGGTTAACTTGGAGATCCAGAAGATCAATGTATATCTCCAAGGGTTAGCTCCCCATATCAGAGTCGAAGTGCAGTCACACTAGCCTAATACCTATGATGAAGCTAAATCTTTAGCCTTCAGTCTTAAGGATCCTATGCCCCAGAACCCAAGAAGGAGTAAGAAGAAGTCCAAAGAGCTTCAGAACAAGTAAGGATGAATCATCAAGGGAAAATCTATTCAACCTTCTTGAAGGAAATAGAGGAAAGGAAGTCTCATGAGAGATCACTCACTTCACCAAGGGGATACTTGAGAAGACTCCTCTTGTGAAATAATTGTGGACTTCGTCATCTGGGAAAGTGTGAGAATTTTAGGTGTAACAACTACAGAAGGCCAAGGCACATAACCATTGTTTGTAAAAGTCAACCAGCCCAATAGAAGGAAATATTGGATGTTAGAATAAAGAGGTTTAGGAAAAAGCTCCATAGGAATAATTATGTAATGTTTGAACAAGGGAATTGGAAAACCTTGAAGTTGTATTCAACATTATTATATATAAAGGCTTGTTTTGAGTACGTGTAGTGCTAGACACATAAAATAGAAATCCTTCCATAAATCCACTCAATATTAAGATAAAAGATTTAGGTTTCCTGTTGGTGTAAAATAAGGATAAAATTAAATAAGGTTTTAAAATAAAGATATTAGATGCTAATGATGAAGTTGAAGAATTAGAAGTAGAAAACTAAAAAGGAAATTTAGTTGTGCCAACAAATAGGAAAAATGAATAGATTTCCTAATTAAGAAACTTGTCCCCCCACTTAAGATTACCATAAGGTTCGAATTTTGAAGACAAAATTCTTAAAACAAGAGGGACAATGTGACAATTGGGAATTTCCCATCTCTAGTCGCCACTAGAGATTAGGCATCAGTCAATGATAATGATAGAACTCTTCCTAATGAAGGAAAGTATGATCAGTTAAATCATAATCATAGGGTCAAAAACGAGTGACCAAAAAGTTACATAATTTTTATGACAGTTAGTGTATTTGTAAAGTACACAACA